TACGGTCGAGATGCACCCCCCTGGCTGATTTTAGAGAGGAAGAGCCAGCTGTGACCGCCCCCTCCCCTATCCGTTCCTCCAGTCAGTGCTGGAGAAACAGAGGGGGGAAGGGGGAAATCCCTGTGGGGCGTGGTCACTGACAGTCACCGCTCCCTGCAGGGAGAGGATCGGGAAGTCAGAGATCGTCGGAATGTGTTCGCTGACTTCCCGATCAATAGAGCCCACCTGTGACAACTTCATTCACTTCACAGGTCGGACTGAGTTATGGGGATGAGTGTTTTTCACTCAGCCCATAATTCTCCTTTAAAGGGGTTCTAAACCCTCCCGTTTCTTTGCCTATATCTACTGCTATGAAGCAGTAGATATAGGCAAACAGTTAAAAAAAACAAAAAACGCTAAAACAGCGGTTTAAACTTACCTTTTTTTTCTTTGCACGCTCCCGTCCGAGAAAACGAAACTGTCCAGGCGGCCGCCAAGCATCTTGGGGCGGGTGCATGCGCAGTTCGGATTCTCGGCCGGGAGACGAGCAGAGACGCAAGGTAAGTCTATGGACGCATGCACCCGCATGCAGACACCACTGGATCGGAGGGACAGAGCAGTCAGCGCTGGATCGGAGAGCCGCCGCACCGCTGGAGGGACAGATGAAAACATCAGGAAAGAAGAAGAAGATCGGATTAAGAGACATCATTTAAGGTAAGTGCTAACATTAACATGGGGGGAGGGACATTTTTTTTTTACTTTAATGTCACTTTAAGTCTTTTTCTTGAAGTCCATTGAGAGAAACAGAACTTCTTTTATTCCTGGAAACTGCCACCTTCTGGAGGGTTGGATACTGGCAACCCCCCCAAAAAAAACCAAAACAATAAGCCAGTCCCTGTATAACCCTGCCTTTGCTAAGGATGCCTCAGGTTTGTAAGCAAGCAGTCCATAAGATCAATAACATGCATAGAAGGGACCTATGTTCCTCAATGGCCTTTAAGAAAAAGATTTTATAATAAGTACAAAAAAATCTTATTTTCTCTATCTTTCATTGATAAACACGACTGTATTTATTCTTGGACATCCAAAAGCAATCCAACTGAGGGGGACAAATGCCAATGACGAATCTAACAGGTGTGAAAATCTTGCTAGAAAAATATCCAAAGAAAATAATGCCTGAATAAGGCTAAATGAAAAAAGGGGAGCAAATATGAAAATTGCTACTAACAAGGAAAGATTGAAGAAAGAATCTGGTGTGCCAGAGCAGGGCAGGTGCTGCCACTAGGGGGAGACTGCTATCTGAAATAATAATGGACCTAATCAAGAATTTGGAGGATAACCAATCAACCACCATAAGGAAAAAAATAGGTTGAAAAAAACATAAACCAACAGCTAAAATCCTCAACAAAACAAAAACGTTTTTTAAGGTAAGGGCCAAACCTTAGGATGCCTAACCCTTGACCTCAGGGAAAGGAATCTTAGGCAAAGTATGTACTGACCAAAAGATCAGCCAGTGAATAACTGGTGTTAGTAGAAGGGTACCCTTAACCCTTGACTTCAGGAAAAGATGGGATCTATAACATAACAGTCCTCTTAACAGTAATCTAGAGTGAGAGAGGAATAGAAATATTCAATGCAAAACAAAGGAATGTAGAGCATCAAGTTCCCTTTAAGGAGGGGAGGAAAAGGAAGACAAAGTGAGGAATATTTTAACACGACAGATGTATCTCAGAAAGAAAGGGATGAGTGGGTGACCCTCCAATTCATACCAATAGATGATTAAGAGGTGTAATAGTCACAATACAACCTTCCTGATTTGAAATTATATATACAGGCAGTCCCCGGGTTACATACAAGATGGGGACTGTAGGTTTGTACTTAAGTTGAATTTGTATGTAAGTCTGAACAGGTAAATTTTTTTAATGGAACTCCAGCCCAAAAATTTTTTTTTAGTTTTGGATAGCATAGGGAAGGGTCACGTTTGTTTTGCTGTCTGTTCCTGTTGTTCAGAAGATTATAATATAATACAACATTTTTTATTTAAAATGACACACCAAAAAAAAGTTTTTTTCTATTTTTAATTTTATTTTATAAACTTAATTTTTTTATTTGTTTGCATTTTTAATTTTTATTAATTTTACTTTTTTTAACATTTTTTTGTTTTTTAAATTTTATTTTTGTAAACTTTTTTTTATTTATTTTTTTATTTTAATGCTCTGAGCAATAGCCAGCCTGCTATAGGATATTTCAAATTGCAGTAGCGAATAGCAGGCTTGCTATTGCATCTGCCCACTGCCTGCTGTCAATCAGCAGAGGAGGGGCCTGAAGGACAAAGCTCTCTATCAGGTCCTCCCATGCTGATTGACAGCAGGCAGTGGGCGGGTGCAATAGCCAGCTTGCTATTGG